CTCCCTCCCTCTCTCTCTCGCTCCCCGCTGTTTAAATTCAATCCTCTCCGCGGCCCCCATGTGAGACCGGCCGGCGGCGGGGAGAGAGGACCCCAACAACTGGAAAGAGTCCTGCGCGGGGAGAGCCCACCTCCCGGCCGGCCAGGTAATCGCTGATCCAGACAGGCCCCGGCGGAGTACTACTCGAAATGACTCTCCCTCTCTCATGCTCTCCCTCCCTCTCTCACACACATCCCCTCTCTCACTCTCTCCCCCGCTCACTTTAGAGCAGGTTTCATTATCTCACGTTCAGGGAGGGGGACGCTGCTTTTGCCAACTTGCACGACAATTGCCGCACGCGCGCGTCTCTATATTATACGCGCAGATTGCAATCACGAAAAGAGGCGCGCACGTGTGTCGCAAGATTATATATATTTTAACGGGCGAGTAAAAGTAGTGCACGCGGGAAATAGTAGCACACGCACACGCTGATAATTCCCTACTAACTATAAACGCGCTTTCTTCCACTGCAAAGTATCGCTTTGCAGTTGCGAAGTGCAATACCTTATCTTATAGTCTGCAAAGCAATCAAATCCTTTCTCAATTTTCAAAAAGCACTTACTAATTTAACAAAAACGGTGTAGCTGAAGCTATAAAAAAATCACGCAATAATTTGCGTTGTTGTGGGTTATAATTCAATTTTAAAATGCGACATTTTGTAGCCGGCAACCGATACGATACGACGAGCAAAGCACACAGATGCCGCTGCTCCACTCGCACTGCTGCGGACAGGCAACTAATTCATTAGACACCCCCGTCCCTCCCTCTTCACTCTCCCTCTCTCTCTCTCTCTCTCTCTCTCTCTCTCTCTCTGTCTCTCTCTCTCTCTCGCCCCCTGCCTCACTCCGACACGCACGAGCGTGCGCGAGCAAGCAGCTCGTCTCTCGCGCCCCGCGCAGTAACAGATGGAGCAGCAGGCCTCCATGCGGAGGCGTCTCAACAGCGAGAGAGAGAGAGAGAGAGAGAGAGAGAGAGAGAGGGAGAGAGAGAGAGAGAGAGAGAGAGAGACAAGACGGCTCGTAAAAATAATTAAGTAGGCCCGCTGCTACTGCTGCTGCTGCTGCTCGACAATGCTTCCTCGCGGTGCTCCTACGCTCGTAGTGGCAACAGCCAGCATCCCTCACGCTCCCGGGGGGAGGGGGAGGTCCTCGCGGGACACGGCGGTATAAGGGGCTTAACTGCGAGCACTCTCGGACTCACAATGGCATGAAACAGCAGCAGCACCAGCAAGGATAATGTCGCTGTGCATCAAAGTTACGTAACGTAACGCCACATCCCAGCAGGATAGAGAGGACCTGTCAGCAAACGGGAAAGTATAAGGCTCGCCCGCTGACACCTGACACTCTTGTCGACACAGCGACGACTGACAATGACAACGCTCACAAACTCGCTCATATACGTTCATCGCTGACCATTTTCACTTACTTGAATTCAAGTTGTTACTATAGGGACGTAACACCAAACCCAACCTAATATGACAATGACAATACTTCTTCACTGACAACAATGGAGCAATAACTGTATTATAAACGCCACGACAATGCGCTGCTGCTCCGCTTTGGACACGAAATGTCACCGGCCGTGACGATACCCCCCCTTCCCCCCCTCCGAACCCCCAGCCGCCACTGCTGGGGGGGCCCGCTGCCTTACACGGCTCAGCTGACTGGCCGGTGTCCAGCAGCACCAGGGGCCTCCGCTCCCCCCGCCCACCTCTCTATTGCAGAAAACACGTCAAGGCCCCCCCTCTCTCCCTCTCTCCCTCCCTCCTC